TAACAACAGGATCACTACAGGGTAACAACAGGGTAACAACAGAGTAACAACAGGGTAACAACAGGGTAACAACAGAGTAACAACAGGGTAACCACAGGGTAACAACAGAGTAACAACAGGATCACTACAGGGTAACAACAGGGTAACAACAGAGTAACAACAGGGTAACAACAGGGTAACAACAGAGTAACAACAGGGTAACAACAGGGTAACAACAGATTAACAACAGGGTAACAACCGGGTAACAACAGAGTAACAACAGAGTAACAACAGAGTAACAACAGGATCACCACAGGGTAACAACAGGATCACCACAAGGTAACAACAGGGTAACAACAGAGTAACAACAGGGTAACAACAGGGTAACAACAGGATAACCACAGGGTAACAACAGAGTAACAACAGGGTAACAACAGGGTAACAACAGGATAACCACAGGGTAACAACAGAGTAACAATAGGGTAACAACAGAGGAACAACAGGGTAACCACAGGGTAACCACAGAGTAACAACAGGGTAAAAACAGGGTAACAACAGGGTAACAATAGGGTAACAACAGAGGAACAACAGGGTAACCACAGGGTAACCACAGAGTAACAACAGGGTAAAAACAGGGTAACAACAGGGTAACAACAGAGTAACAACAGGGTAACAACAGGGTAACAACAGAGTAACAACAGGGTAACAACAGGGTAACAACAGAGTAACAACAGAGTAACAACAGGGTATCAACAGGGTAACAACAGAGTAACAACAGGGTAACAACAGGTTAACAACAGAGTAACAACAGGGTAACAACAGGGTAACAACAGAGTAACAACAGAGTAACAACAGGGTATCAACAGGGTAACAACAGAGTAACAACAGGGTAACAACAGGGTAACAACAGAGTAACAACAGAGTAACAACAGGGTAACAACAGAGTAACAACAGGGTAACAACAGGTTAACAACAGAGTAACAACAGAGTAACAACAGGATAACCACAGGGTAACAACAGAGTAACAACAGGATAACCACAGGGTAACAACAGAGTAAAAACAGGGTAACAACAGAGTAACAACAGGGTAACAACAGGGTAACAACAGAGTAACAACAGGGTAACAACAGGGTAACAACAGAGTAACAACAGGGTAACAACAGGGTAACAACAGGGTAACAACAGGGTAACAACAGGGTAACAACAGAGTAACAACAGAGTAACAACAGAGTAACAACGGGGTAACAACATGGTAACCACAGAGTAACAACAGAGTAACAACAGGGTAAAAACGGGGTAACAACGGGGTAACAACAGGGTAACAACAGGGTTACAACAGGGTAACCACAGAGTAACAACAGAGTAACAACAGGGTAACAACTCTGGTGTCTACAGGAGCTGGTGTTTGGGTCCGCTGGTGTCTACAGCTGGTGTTGGACTCCTCTGGTGTCTACAGCTGGTGTTTGGCTCTTCTGGTGTCTATAGCTGGTGTTTGGCTCCTCTGGTGTCTACAGGAGCTGGTGTTATTGGCCGGTAGTTGGAGGGGGCTGCACCCTTCACAGGGTCCTTCATGACTAGGACCGTTCGCCCTTCGGTTAGCCATTCTGGATGAGTCCCATCGCTCAGCAGCACCAGAGGAGCCAAACACCAGCTCCTGTAGACACCAGAGGAGCCAAACACCAGCTCCTGTAGACACCAGAGGAGCCAAACACCAGCTCCTGTAGACACCAGAGGAGCCAAACACCAGCTCCTGTAGACACCAGAGGAGCCAAACACCAGCTCCTGTAGACACCAGAGGAGCCAAACACCAGCTCCTGTAGACACCAGAGGAGCCAAACACCAGCTCCTGTAGACACCAGAGGAGCCAAACACCAGCTCCTGTAGACACCAGAGGAGCCAAACACCAGCTCCTGTAGACACCAGAGGAGCCAAACACCAGCTCCTGTAGACACCAGAGGAGCCAAACACCAGCTCCTGTAGACACCAGAGGAGCCAAACACCAGCTCCTGTAGACACCAGAGGAGCCAAACACCAGCTCCTGTAGACACCAGAGGAGCCAAACACCAGCTCCTGGTTGACAGAACAGTCGCCCAAGACTGCCGGTCACGACACACCAACCTGTGCACAGCCTGGATTGATTACCAGAAAGCCTACAACTCAATGCCACACACATGGATCATGGAATGCTTGAAGTTGTACAATATCAACAGGGCTCTAAGGGACTTCGTTGCAAACTCGATGGGAATGTGGAAGACCACCTTTGAGGCAAATGGCTCGAGAAATGTCACAGGATGGTGACTCGGAGAGGCAAGGTAGTCCACACAGAAGGGATCTCACTCCCAGAGGGAACAATAGCAGACGTTGAGGACAGTTACAAGTATCTCGGTATACCACAGGCAAATGGCAACCTCGAACAGGTGACGAGGAAAGCGGCAACTGCCAAATAGGACTTAGGCAGGTCCTAAGAAGCCGGTGTTCTGTGGAGTTGTGCCGCTCAACTGTTTATGATGTAATGCAAACCTGCACATGCAGCCGAAGCAAACCAAGATGGCGGACCGTGAATTGCTTTAAAAGTTATAATACGAACGAATTAAGACACAAATGTCACTTTTAATGCTATTTGAGGCGAGATTTTGATGGTTCCGTTTTGTCACATGTGGGTTTTAAGAGTCAAAGTTTTGTTTCAAAGTTTACTTTAAGCAGTCAACTGCTCCTGTGAAACCACACTGCTGCTGCGTGATAGCAGTCCGTGGCTGATGCTGAAGGCTGCTGACGTAGGCTGCTGACGTAGGCTGGTCTGGTCTGTCGGGTTGATAATGGAAATAATTAATTTAATTTAATGCATGTATCGTACTGTATTTAATATAATTAACAATAGTGTGTTCAAACGAAATATTTAATTAGATCAATTTTTTCCGCATTTTCTATTATCAACCCGACAGACCAGCTGTAAGCTGTAGAGTTGCCACAGGACGCGTCATCAGCCTACGTCATCAGCTTACGTCAGCAGCCTACGTCATCAGCCTACGTCAGCAGCCTACGTCATCAGCTTACGTCAGCAGCCTACGTCATCAGCCTACGTCATCAGCTTACGTCAGCAGCCTACGTCAGCAGCCTACGTCATCAGCCTACGTCAGCAGCCTACGTCAGCAGCCTTCAGCATCAGCCACGGACTGCTATCACGCAGCAGCAGTGTGGTTTCACAGGAGCAGTTGACTGCTTAAAGTAAACTTTGAAACAAAACTTTGACTCTTAAAACCCACATGTGACAAAACGGAACCATCAACATCTCGCCTCAAATTGCATTAAAATTGACTTTCGTGTCTTAATTCGTTTGTATTTTAACTTTTAAAGCAATTTACGGTCCGCCATCTTGGTTTGGTTCGGCTGCATGTGCAGGTTTGCATTACATCATAAACAGTTGAGCGGCACAACTCCACAGAACATCGGCTCAATGGCAAGAACAAGGCCCGGGCAATTAACAGCTACGCCCTGCCAGTGATCAGACCCTGCAGGAATAATCAGGTGGCCAAAGGAAGAGATTCAGACCACGGATGTTAAAACTCAAAGCTCCTTACCATGCATGGCGGGTTCCATCCCAAATCCAGCACCCTGAGACTGTACGTAAGCCGTAAAGAAGGAGGCCGAGGACTAGTGAGTGTGAGAGCCACTGTCCAGGACGAAACATCCAAACTCCATAACTACATCATGGAGAAGGAGGTGAATGAGGAGGTGCTGGAGGAGAGCCCATCATGGGAGGAGAAGTACGGCGGCACGGTGGCTGAGTGGTTAGCACTCTCGCCTCTTGGCAAGAAGGTCCTGCGTTCGAATCCCAGTCGGACCAGGGCCTTTCTGAGTGGAGTTTGCATGTTCTCCCCGTGTCTGCGTAGGTTTCCTCCGGGCACTCCGGTTTCCCCTACCACTAAAAACATGTACCATGGGTCTGGCATGTGCCTCCTGTACTGGCGACCGTCTCTGTGTGGAGAGAGAGACAAATGCCCCAAAAATAACAATTGTAAACCGCTTTGAGACTCTGGTCTGTGAAATGCGGAATAAATAAAGATTACTTACTTACTTTCTTACAAGTTCCTACATGAGGAGGTGCTGGAGGAGGCCCATCCTGGGAGGACAAGCCCCTACATGAGGAGGTGCTGGAGGAGGCCCATCATGGGAGGACAAGCCCCTATATGAGGAGGTGCTGGGGGAGGCCCATCCTGGGAGGACAAGCCCCTACATGAGGAGGTGCTGGAGGAGGCCCATCATGGGAGGACAAGCCCCTACATGAGGAGGTGCTGGGGGAGGCCCATCCTGGGAGGACAAGCCCCTACATGAGGAGGTGCTGGAGGAGGCCCATCCTGGGAGGACAAGCCCCTACATGAGGAGGTGCTGGAGGAGGCCCATCATGGGAGGACAAGCCCCTACATGAGGAGGTGCTGGGGGAGGCCCATCCTGGGAGGACAAGCCCCTACATGAGGAGGTGCTGGAGGAGGCCCATCATGGGAGGACAAGCCCCTACATGAGGAGGTGTTGGAGGAGGCCCATCATGGGAGGACAAGCCCCTACATGAGGAGGTGCTGGAGGAGGCCCATCATGGGAGGACAAGCCCCTACATGAGGAGGTGCTGGAGGAGGCCCATCATGGGAGGACAAGCCCCTACATGAGGAGGTGCTGGAGGACAGCCCATCATGGGAGGACAAGCCCTACATGAGGAGGTGCTGGAGGACAGCCCATCATGGGAGGACAAGCCCTACATGAGGAGGTGCTGGGGGAGGCTCATCATGGGAGAACAAGCCCCTACACGGCATGTACCACCGGAGCATAACAGAAGTCCTACCAATGGCTAGAAAAGGGCTGGAGACCCATGGTACAGATATACCACACCAGAGGAGACCCATGGTACAGATATACCACACCAGAGGAGACCCATGGTACAGATATACCACACCAGAGGAGACCCATGGTACAGATATATCACACCAGAGGAGACCCATGGTACAGATATACCACACCAGAGGAGACCCATGGTACAGATATATCACACCAGAGGAGACCCATGGTACAGATATATCACACCAGAGGAGACCCATGGTACAGATACAGCGCTCACAGGGGTCTCAGCCTCGCTCACAGGGGTCTCACTCACAGGGGTCTCAGACCAGCCCTCGCTCACAGGGGGGCTCACAGGGGTCTCAGACCAGCCTCGCTCACAGGGGTCTCAGACCAGCCTCGCTCACAGGGGTCTCAGACCAGCCTCGCTCACAGGGGTCTCAGACCAGCCTCGCTCACAGGGGTCTCAGACCAGCCTCGCTCACAGGGGTCTCAGACCAGCCTCGCTCACAGGGGTCTCAGACCAGCCTCGCTCACAGGGGTCTCAGACCAGCCTCGCTCACAGGGGTCTCAGACCAGCCTCGCTCACAGGGGTCTCAGACCAGCCTCGCTCACAGGGGTCTCAGACCAGCCTCGCTCACAGGGGTCTCAGACCAGCCTCGCTCACAGGGGTCTCAGACCAGCCTCGCTCACAGGGGTCTCAGACCAGCCTCGCTCACAGGGGTCTCAGACCAGCCTCGCTCACAGGGGTCTCAGACCAGCCTCGCTCACAGGGGTCTCAGACCAGCCTCGCTCACAGGGGTCTCAGACCAAGCCTCGCTCACAGGGGTCTCAGACCAGCCTCGCTCACAGGGGTCTCAGACCAGCCTCGCTCACAGGGGTCTCAGACCAGCCCGCTCACAGGGGTCTCAGACCAGCCTCGCTCACAGGGGTCTCAGACCAGCCTCGCTCACAGGGGTCTCAGACCAGCCCCGCTCACAGGGGTCTCAGACCAGCCTCGCTCACAGGGGTCTCAGACCAGCCTCGCTCACAGGGGTCTCAGACCAGCCTCGCTCACAGGGGTCTCAGACCACCAGCCCCGCTCACAGGGGTCTCAGACCAGCCCCGCTCACAGGGACCAGCCCCGCTCACAGGGGTCTCAGACGGGCACTGCAAAGACACAGTGTCTGCTCTTCGTCCAGGCATCAACTCCTGCTGCGGGATAGAAAGAGACTCAGGTAAACAAAAGTCTACTTTGTAGCGACGCCCATGGTCTTTGGTCATTGTAGAGGACGTAGACTAACCCCTTAAGCTCGCAAGCAAACAAGAAGAAAAATACATCTGCTGGCAATAGCAGATGTATTTTGAACTTCATAAGACACAAGCTATATGTCATTTTAAAGCTTATTTTCTCAGCTATATTTATATGTAAGTGTAAACGATATCAGACTTTGCATTAAAAAGATATAACGCATAATATGGGCACAAAATAAATCGTGTTTGTGTAAGTTTCTTACCTTTCGTCTTCTGCTGCTCCAACAAATTTCCCCGTCCTTGCTCAGTCTCTTTCTCTCCGTAAGTCTTCATTGGAAAAGAATATCCACTTTTATTTCCCAAAGTATAATCCATTCTTCAGAAATAATCCAAAAATGTGCATTTTTCTGTTGCAAAAAAAAACGCTCCGAAAAATGTTCAGGCTTCTCTTTCACATTTCACCAAGTTTGAGCTTTGTTTAGCCACAAACATCATATTTACGTGTTCCTTGAGTCCTTAGCTTAGATAGAAGCAGTTTTCAGTCCGCAGGACCCTTGTGAAAAAGACGAACCGCATCCACTTGCACAGGGTCCTTTTTCCCTTGTTGTTGATTAGCATGGCTAGCGCTATGTGCTAGCACTGAATGATTGACGTGTCTAAGTAGCCAATAAAAAGAGCTTTCTTTTGATGGGTGGGACTTGTAGGAAATCTTTTCATTTTCACAGTAAAAGCGTGCGTAAAGACGCTGTTAGTATTTTATATGCATTTACACTACTAAAAAAATGTAAAAGAAAATCACACAGATTTGTAACTTATAAGTACCAAAACTAAAAAATATGCTTTTTATGATGGTGAAATGTTAGTAAAGCAGTTTGGCACAATTTGGCACACATTTTGCCAAATTGGTTCCGAATGGCCCTACTTGATAAAAAAGAGAAACTGCATAAAAACTATAAAACTTAGAAGTCTGAAACTTTACACAGTTGTTGTCAACAACACAATGGACACATTAGCGTTGAAAATGTTCTTCTTCCAATGAAGTAGGCTTTTTTAGGGCATTTATACATTGAATTTTTTAGGCGAGGCTAAAAAAAACAGGTTTTTTTGTTGTTGTTTGAACTGGAAGTTCTGCGGGACACCCTGAAGCCCAAACCCTGATGCTAACTCATTACCCATGATCACATCAACGCCCTCCGTGGGTAAAGCTGGCCTGACTGTGAGGCCCTCCGTGGGTAAAGCTGGCCTGACTGTGAGGCCCTCCGTGGGTAAAGCTGGCCTGACTGTGAGGCCCTCCGTGGGTAAAGCTGGCCTGACTGTGAGGCCCTCCGTGGGTAAAGCTGGCCTGACAGTGAGGCCCTCCGTGGGTAAAGCTGGCCTGACTGTGAGGCCCTCCGTGGGTAAAGCTGGCCTGACTGTGAGGCCCTCCGTGGGTAAAGCTGGCCTGACTGTGAGGCCCTCCGTGGGTAAAGCTGGCCTGACAGTGAGGCCCTCCGTGGGTAAAGCTGGCCTGACTGTGAGGCCCTCCGTGGGTAAAGCTGGCCTGACAGTGAGGCCCTCCGTGGGTAAAGCTGGCCTGACTGTGAGGCCCTCCGTGGGTAAAGCTGGCCTGACAGTGAGGCCCTCCGTGGATAAAGCTGGCCTGACTGTGAGGCCCTCCGTGGGTAAAGCTGGCCTGACAGTGAGGCCCTCCGTGGGTAAAGCTGGCCTGACAGTGAGGCCCTCCGTGGGTAAAGCTGGCCTGACAGTGAGGCCCTCCGTGGGTAAAGCTGGCCTCGACTGTGAGGCCCTCCGTGGGTAAAGCTGGCCAGACTGTGAGGCCCTCCGTGGGTAAAGCTGGCCTGACTGTGAGGCCCTCCGTGGGTAAAGCTGGCCTGACTGTGAGGCCCTCCGTGGGTAAAGCTGGCCTGACAGTGAGGCCCTCCGTGGGTAAAGCTGGCCTGACAGTGAGGCCCTCCGTGGGTAAAGCTGGCCTGACAGTGAGGCCCTCCGTGGGTAAAGCTGGCCTGACTGTGAGGCCCTCCGTGGGTAAAGCTGGCCTGACTGTGAGGCCCTCCGTGGGTAAAGCTGGCCTGACTGTGAGGCCAACCACTCCCTCACTATGACTGTGTGCAGAGAAGCCCTCAGTGGAAGCTAACACCCCTGACTAGAACACAGCGACCTGTGTCAGTGTCTTTTGAAAATGGCAACTCAGACGCCGAAAGAATCTGAGGCTCTAATATCTTTCAGAATCTTCACCAGAACTCGAACCCCATCACCAACTGACAAAACAAAAGCATCAAAACAAAAGCTCAAAAGCTCAAATGTAAACCTTTCAGAACCACAGACTGTAAATATTCTGTTCTAACTAATGTGCCACAACTTCCGAGGTCTATGGGCAGTTTCAAAATGGCCGCGGGGGCTGGAAAATGTTAAAAAACACATCTGCATCAGCTGCACGAGCTCCATTCATTTAAACAAGAGACTTCTAAAGTCCACAGCGACTAAACTAGACTGGTCCAGAACACTCAGCATTGACACACATGTGGAACGGAGCTTTGGGCCAAGACCCAACTTTTGGTCAATCCTGTAAAGACGTTTTCCAGAGGTCAATGCTATATGTTAGCATTGGCTAATTCTTCTTCTGGGTCCACCCCCACAGGCCCGGGGTGGTATTGCAGTATGTCAGCGCACCTCATTTTGGCCACTTTTGAGCTGGGACCGGCACAAAACTCTTGCTCCAGCGACTGCCACACAAAACCAAACAAAACCAAACCAACCAAAACTCAACACAAGTTAACACACTCCAAAACATGAAAACTAACTGTGTGTGATGTTCCCAAACTGATAAACATCTAACCTCATCCCAGATTGGACATTTACAAATATCCAAACATACATTTTCTCGGATCCACCTGGTCTCTCTCTGGTCTCTCTCTGGTCTCTCTGTATGGTCTCTCTCTCTGGTCTCTCTCTGGTCTCTCTCTGGTCTCTCTCTCTGGTCTCTCTCTGGTCTCTCTCTGGTCTCTCTCTGGTCTCTCTCTGGTCTCTCTCTGGTCTCTCTCTGGTCTCTCTCTCTGGTCTCTCTGTATGGTCTCTCTCTGGTCTCTCTGTCTGGTCCCTCTCTGGTCTCTCTCTGGTCTCTCTCTGGTCTCTCTCTGGTCTCTCTCTGGTCTCTCTCTGGTCTCTCTCTCTGGTCTCTCTGTATGGTCTCTCTCTGGTCTCTCTGTCTGGTCCCTCTCTGGTCTCTCTCTGGTCCCTCTCTGGTCTCTCTCTGGTCTCTCTCTGGTCTCTCTCTGGTCTCTCTGTATGGTCTCTCTCTCTGGTCTCTCTCTGGTCTCTCTCTGGTCTCTCTCTGGTCTCTCTCTCTGGTCTCTCTGTATGGTCTCTCTGGTCTCTCTGTCTGGTCTCTCTCTCTGGTCTCTCTCTGGTCTCTCTCTCTGGTCTCTCTCTGGTCTCTCTCTCTGGTCTCTCTCTCTCTCTGGTCTCTCTCTGGTCTCTCTCTCTGGTCTCTCTCTGGTCTCTCTCTCTGGTCTCTCTCTGGTCTCTCTCTCTGGTCTCTCTCTGGTCTCTCTCTCTGGTCTCTCTCTGGTCTCTCTCTGGTCTCTCTCTCTGGTCTCTCTCTGGTCTCTCTCTCTGGTCTCTCTCTGGTCTCTCTCTCTGGTCTCTCTCTGGTCTCTCTCTCTGGTCTCTCTCTCTGGTCTCTCTCTGGTCTCTCTCTCTGGTCTCTCTCTGGTCTCTCTCTCTGGTCTCTCTCTCTGGTCTCTCTCTGGTCTCTCTCTCTGGTCTCTCTCTCTGGTCTCTCTCTGGTCTCTCTCTCTGGTCTCTCTCTGGTCTCTCTCTCTGGTCTCTCTCTCTGGTCTCTCTCTGGTCTCTCTCTCTGGTCTCTCTCTGGTCTCTCTGTATGGTCTCACTCTCTAGTCTCTATCTGGTCTCTCTCTGGTCTCTCTCTGGCCTGGACCATGTGAGACCTCATTAAAGCTCATCTCCGGTTATTTTTGCCGTCGCCATTTGGCTTTGACTCTGTCTCTGCTTTCAACCTGAGATCTAAGTTTCACTGAATCTATTAATATTCTGCATTATTTGTTTTAACAAGAGAGAGAGGGAGGGACTAGAAGGAGACCAGAGGGGGACCAGAGAGAGAGCAGAGAGGGACCAGGGAGAGAGAGACCAGAGAGAGACCAGAGAGAGACCAGAGAGAGAGACCAGAGAGGGACCAGAGAGTGACCAGAGAGAGACCAGAGAGAGACCAGAGAGAGAGACCAGAGAGAGACCAGAGAGACCGGAGAGAGTGCTTCTCACTTCTCAGCAAGAAGGTCGTGGGGTTGAATCCCGGCCAGAACAGGGTCTTGCTGTTGGTGGAGGAGGCTATGGACATGTCACGTTTTTAGAATTCTCTTTGCGACTTTTAGCACGTGACCCCATTACAAGCAATTACAGCTTCCTTTTCAACGCCTTCTCTCTGCTCTGCACAAATATCACACCTCAGATTTATGACTCCAGCGGAGGTCACTCCCCCTGGGCCCGAGTCCTGGGCCCGAGTCCTGGGCCCGAGTCCTGGGCCCGAGTCCTGGGCCCGAGTCCTGGGCCCGAGTCCTGGGTCTGAGTCCTGGGCCTGAGTCCTGGGTCTGAGTCCTGGGTCTGAGTCCGAGTCGTGGGCCCGAGTCGTGGGCCCGAGTCCTGGGTCTGAGTCCTGGGCCTGAGTCCTGGGTCTCAGTCCTAGGTCTACAGTCTCAGTCCTGGGTCTACAGCCTCAGTCCTGGGTCTACAGCATCAGTCCTGGGTCTACAGCCTCAGTCCTGAGTCTACAGCCTGGGGGGGGGGGGGGGGGGGGGGGGGGGGGGGGGGGGGGGGGGGGGGGGGGGGGGGGGGGGGGGGGGGGGGGGGGGGGGGGGGGGGGGGGGGGGGGGGGGGGGGGGGGGGGGGGGGGGGGGGGGGGGGGGGGGGGGGGGGGGGGGGGGGGGGGGGGGGGGGGGGGGGGGGGGGGGGGGGGGGGGGGGGGGGGGGGGGGGGGGGGGGGGGGGGGGGGGGGGGGGGGGGGGGGGGGGGGGGGGGGGGGGGGGGGGGGGGGGGGGGGGGGGGGGGGGGGGGGGGGGGGGGGGGGGGGGGGGGGGGGGGGGGGGGGGGGGGGGGGGGGGGGGGGGGGGGGGGGGGGGGGGGGGGGGGGGGGGGGGGGGGGGGGGGGGGGGGGGGGGGGGGGGGGGGGGGGGGGGGGGGGGGGGGGGGGGGGGGGGGGGGGGGGGGGGGGGGGGGGGGGGGGGGGGGGGGGGGGGGGGGGGGGGGGGGGGGGGGGGGGGGGGGGGGGGGGGGGGGGGGGGGGGGGGGGGGGGGGGGGGGGGGGGGGGGGGGGGGGGGGGGGGGGGGGGGGGGGGGGGGGGGGGGGGGGGGGGGGGGGGGGGGGGGGGGGGGGGGGGGGGGGGGGGGGGGGGGGGGGGGGGGGGGGGGGGGGGGGGGGGGGGGGGGGGGGGGGGGGGGGGGGGGGGGGGGGGGGGGGGGGGGGGGGGGGGGGGGGGGGGGGGGGGGGGGGGGGGGGGGGGGGGGGGGGGGGGGGGGGGGGGGGGGGGGGGGGGGGGGGGGGGGGGGGGGGGGGGGGGGGGGGGGGGGGGGGGGGGGGGGGGGGGGGGGGGGGGGGGGGGGGGGGGGGGGGGGGGGGGGGGGGGGGGGGGGGGGGGGGGGGGGGGGGGGGGGGGGGGGGGGGGGGGGGGGGGGGGGGGGGGGGGGGGGGGGGGGGGGGGGGGGGGGGGGGGGGGGGGGGGGGGGGGGGGGGGGGGGGGGGGGGGGGGGGGGGGGGGGGGGGGGGGGGGGGGGGGGGGGGGGGGGGGGGGGGGGGGGGGGGGGGGGGGGGGGGGGGGGGGGGGGGGGGGGGGGGGGGGGGGGGGGGGGGGGGGGGGGGGGGGGGGGGGGGGGGGGGGGGGGGGGGGGGGGGGGGGGGGGGGGGGGGGGGGGGGGGGGGGGGGGGGGGGGGGGGGGGGGGGGGGGGGGGGGGGGGGGGGGGGGGGGGGGGGGGGGGGGGGGGGGGGGGGGGGGGGGGGGGGGGGGGGGGGGGGGGGGGGGGGGGGGGGGGGGGGGGGGGGGGGGGGGGGGGGGGGGGGGGGGGGGGGGGGGGGGGGGGGGGGGGGGGGGGGGGGGGGGGGGGGGGGGGGGGGGGGGGGGGGGGGGGGGGGGGGGGGGGGGGGGGGGGGGGGGGGGGGGGGGGGGGGGGGGGGGGGGGGGGGGGGGGGGGGGGGGGGGGGGGGGGGGGGGGGGGGGGGGGGGGGGGGGGGGGGGGGGGGGGGGGGGGGGGGGGGGGGGGGGGGGGGGGGGGGGGGGGGGGGGGGGGGGGGGGGGGGGGGGGGGGGGGGGGGGGGGGGGGGGGGGGGGGGGGGGGGGGGGGGGGGGGGGGGGGGGGGGGGGGGGGGGGGGGGGGGGGGGGGGGGGGGGGGGGGGGGGGGGGGGGGGGGGGGGGGGGGGGGGGGGGGGGGGGGGGGGGGGGGGGGGGGGGGGGGGGGGGGGGGGGGGGGGGGGGGGGGGGGGGGGGGGGGGGGGGGGGGGGGGGGGGGGGGGGGGGGGGGGGGGGGGGGGGGGGGGGGGGGGGGGGGGGGGGGGGGGGGGGGGGGGGGGGGGGGGGGGGGGGGGGGGGGGGGGGGGGGGGGGGGGGGGGGGGGGGGGGGGGGGGGGGGGGGGGGGGGGGGGGGGGGGGGGGGGGGGGGGGGGGGGGGGGGGGGGGGGGGGGGGGGGGGGGGGGGGGGGGGGGGGGGGGGGGGGGGGGGGGGGGGGGGGGGGGGGGGGGGGGGGGGGGGGGGGGGGGGGGGGGGGGGGGGGGGGGGGGGGGGGGGGGGGGGGGGGGGGGGGGGGGGGGGGGGGGGGGGGGGGGGGGGGGGGGGGGGGGGGGGGGGGGGGGGGGGGGGGGGGGGGGGGGGGGGGGGGGGGGGGGGGGGGGGGGGGGGGGGGGGGGGGGGGGGGGGGGGGGGGGGGGGGGGGGGGGGGGGGGGGGGGGGGGGGGGGGGGGGGGGGGGGGGGGGGGGGGGGGGGGGGGGGGGGGGGGGGGGGGGGGGGGGGGGGGGGGGGGGGGGGGGGGGGGGGGGGGGGGGGGGGGGGGGGGGGGGGGGGGGGGGGGGGGGGGGGGGGGGGGGGGGGGGGGGGGGGGGGGGGGGGGGGGGGGGGGGGGGGGGGGGGGGGGGGGGGGGGGGGGGGGGGGGGGGGGGGGGGGGGGGGGGGGGGGGGGGGGGGGGGGGGGGGGGGGGGGGGGGGGGGGGGGGGGGGGGGGGGGGGGGGGGGGGGGGGGGGGGGGGGGGGGGGGGGGGGGGGGGGGGGGGGGGGGGGGGGGGGGGGGGGGGGGGGGGGGGGGGGGGGGGGGGGGGGGGGGGGGGGGGGGGGGGGGGGGGGGGGGGGGGGGGGGGGGGGGGGGGGGGGGGGGGGGGGGGGGGGGGGGGGGGGGGGGGGGGGGGGGGGGGGGGGGGGGGGGGGGGGGGGGGGGGGGGGGGGGGGGGGGGGGGGGGGGGGGGGGGGGGGGGGGGGGGGGGGGGGGGGGGGGGGGGGGGGGGGGGGGGGGGGGGGGGGGGGGGGGGGGGGGGGGGGGGGGGGGGGGGGGGGGGGGGGGGGGGGGGGGGGGGGGGGGGGGGGGGGGGGGGGGGGGGGGGGGGGGGGGGGGGGGGGGGGGGGGGGGGGGGGGGGGGGGGGGGGGGGGGGGGGGGGGGGGGGGGGGGGGGGGGGGGGGGGGGGGGGGGGGGGGGGGGGGGGGGGGGGGGGGGGGGGGGGGGGGGGGGGGGGGGGGGGGGGGGGGGGGGGGGGGGGGGGGGGGGGGGGGGGGGGGGGGGGCCTGGGTCTGGTTTGATCAGATTAAGATAAAAACACTGTGTTTCAGATTTATAACTTTCACAAAGTCTGGACACCCCTGGTCTGTGTGAAGGAAGAATGCATCAGAAACATGTTCATACTTTCTCCCCCCCCTCCCTCTCTCCTCCCTCCTCTTCACCTCCCTCTCTCCCCTCTTCTCTCCCCCCCTCTCTCCTCTTCACCTCTCTCCCCCCTCCCTCCCCTCTTCTCCCGCTCCCATACCCGTATAACAGTGTCTGTATTAATTGCCTTATTGGTATTAATTAAAAGCAATAACCATGGCCCTCCCCCGTCTCCCCCGTCTCCCCCGTCTCCCCCGTCTCCCCCGTCTCCCCCGGACACAGAGAGACAAAGCTCCCTTGCTTACTTCCCAACGATTAGCGGCTCTCCGGCTTCAGCGCCTCAAATCCGCCGCTTTCACACGCAGCATTAACTGGATGAATATTGATCTGCTAAAGGGGATTTATTTATTTCGCGCACTAACCAAAGATCAACTCGTAGCAGCTTTGGGCGGATCTGGCGGAGTCTTAGCGCAAAGCGGGCGCACACACCGACGCTGGACTTGACATTTGGGCGGCTGGAAGAAGACCAAACACAGAACTCACCCAAATAATCCTGGATAAATGAGATGATCACTGCGGGAGATTAGCTCGTTAAGTGGCCTGAGCTAAAGAAGTCCGGGACCAGGAAGAGACGGCTCCGAGGACAAGTCTGCGAGGCCCACCTGTCTGCAGCTAGGCTAACACGCTAGCTCAATGCTAACAGAGAGTGTGTACAGAGGGGCTGTGCTAACACGCTAGCTCAATGCTAACAGAGAGTGTGTACAGAGGGGCTGTGCTAACACGCTAGCTCAATGCTAAAAGAGAGTGTGTACATTCATTCATTCATTCATTCATTTATTTGAGCAGAAACTTATTTAAAACATTTTACAGAAGAAAACAAAACAAGACTACAGAGGGGCTGTGCTAACACGCTAGCTCAATGCTTACAGGGACCGTGTACAGGGGGACTATGCTAACACGATAGCTCGATGCTAACAGTGTTCACTGTTCACAGAGGGGCAACGCTAAAACTTTAGCTCAATGAAGCCCAATAGGAGTCAGGGAGAGAGAAACCAGAGACACCAGAAAGACCAGAGAGACGAAAGAGGGACACCAGAAAGAGACCTGA